ATTATAACGCCCCACGGCTGAAAGGGCGAGCATGTTTTTGGTGTGACAAGGATTCGAACCCGCGACCCTCAGATTACGAGTCGAGTGCCTTAACCACCTGGCCATGCCGGGCCTCCAGCTTAGCTAGCATATTGGTTCATTGGAACAATTCATAGCAATAGCTGCAATACATAAGACTACAATTGTTTAGTCCGTCAGTGGGTGTAGTTTACTCAACAGAGATTCGATGTGGTTAACACTAACTTTGTAGTTAATACATCAGAGCTTCGATCACGAAGAAAGGAGTATTATTATTATTATTCACACTGAGTGAATCTTATCGTTCAAACTAAAGAAACGCTTCACTTATAACTGTGGCTTAAAAACCAACTTGTGAAGGTAATTTATTATTCCTTCATAATATTTCAATTATCTTTCATAAACACACACGTTCATCAAATTCAAATTAAGCAAAGACGTATTATTAGTGGATGGAACCGAGCGTGTCCCAGGGTTAGCGTACCAGACTAGGTTTTGTAGGGCCAAACGTGACCCAGGAGTTACTGTGACAGACTAGATTGTAGGACCGAGCGTGACCCAGGAGTTAGGGTAACAGACTAGGTTTTGTAGGACCGAGCGTGACCCAGGAGTTAACGTGCCAGACTAGGTTTTGTAGGACCGAGCGTGACACAGGGGTCAGCGTGACAGACTAGGTTTTGTAGGACCGAGCGTGACCCAGGAGTTAACGTGCCAGACTAGGTTTTGTAGGACCGAGCGTGACCCAGGCGTCAGCGTGCCAGACTAAGTTTTGTAAGACCGAGCGTGACCTAGGGGTTAAGGTACCGGACTAGGTTTTGTAGAGCCGAGCGTAACCCAGGGGTTAAGGTACCGGACTAGGTTTTGTAGGGCCGAGCGTGACTCAGAAGTTAATGTACCGGACTAGGTTTTGTAGATCCGAGCGTAACCCAGGGGTTTGTGTGCCGGACTAGGTTTTGTAGGACCGAGTGTGACCCAGGGGGTTAGTGTGCCACACTAGGTTTTGTAGGATCGAGCGTGACCCAGGGGTTAACGTGTCGAACTAGGGATCCGTAGGTCTTGGTTCATGTCTCATTGCGACAACGAAACAACAACAACAAAAAAATGCGCTCAGCACTTTGGAGTCGAGGTGCGTTATAGGAGTTACGATCATATCCCACTATATACAAGAGTAGCCCAAGTGACAGTGGGTGTTTGACAATCTGCCTCACCCCTAGACTATCAGCTCAAATTTAAGGGTGGCGAGCACAGCTATCCTTTGAGTAGCTTTTTACGAATATTTAAAACAACATTTGTTTTATTATATCTTTGCTCATCTGCGCAATCTCATTAGCATGACAAGCGTTTGAGAATCCCTGCTAAGGTGTTCATCGAGGAAATATTCTATTAAAACTGTTGAAAAATAAGGACATAGTTGGACTACGCTCTCATCACTGAGATAAGGATTTGTAATTAGATTTTCGGAAATCTAACTTGTTTAGGCTGTGATTAGGTCATCAAATTTGTCATAGCTTCATATTCCTAAGCCTATAACAGATTATTTGAATCTATAGAAGAAAATATTCCTTTGAAATGCACAATTACAAAAGTTTAATAATATATATATATATTTCAATACCAACTATTAATTATATATCTTGGAAGTTTAAAGTGTTTTGTTTTGTTGTTGTTTTTTCACGCAGCAAAACTACGGTCTTGGATTACAGAAGAATTCACCTTACGAGAAGCATTTCAGTTTAGGAATATTAAGCTTAAGGGAAGAAGGATTTTTTGAAACTTTGTATCGCAGGTGGTTTGTTGGAATATGTAGCAGTCCAGGTAAGACAGCAGGATAAGGTACAGGTGAAGTAACAACCGAAAACTTAGGTAAAACTGTTCTTTTGTATCGCAGGTGGTTTGTTGGAATATGTAGCAGTCCAGGTAAGACAGCAGGATAAGGTACATGTGAAGTAACAACCGAAAACTTAGGTGAAACTGTTCTTTTGTATCGCAGGTGGTTTGTTGGAATATGTAGCAGTCCAGGTAAGACAGCAGGATAAG